GACCTCTCGAGGTCCCTTCCAGTCCTAGAAACTATGAATAAGTGCCCTCTGGTCAAGTGCGTGTGCCTGCATACTCTCTCTACCTGTTTGCGGTGAGCCCTCCAGTCGAGTCACACTCAGTCTGTATGTATGTGAAATAAAAACAAAGCAACCTGCGGCCCATCAGGTGGGCCACAAGACAGTTTGTTTACATTGACCGTCCCGCAGGCACGGCCGCCTGCAGCTCTCAGTGGCCACGGTTTGCCGTTCCCGGCCAATGGGAGCTGCAGGAAGTGGCGCGGGCTGCAGGAACACGCTGGCCACTGCTTCCTGCAGCTCCCATTGGCTGGGAAGGGCAAACCATGGCCACTGGGAGCTGCAGGCAGCCATGCCTGCGGAACTGTCTCACGGCCTACCAGTGGATTAGCCTGACAGGCCACATGGGGCCTGCAGGTTGCCCACCACTGCCTTACGGGGTACAAGTCCAACAGGGGCCTCTCTAGGCGCCCTCTGTAACATTTCTCTCAAGTCGTCCCTGCTCCAGTATAGCACAGTGTCCCCTACCTGGAGGCAATGTCTTCACCCTCTCATGGCCTTTCTGGCCACAGCTCTCCAGCTGGGCCATTATAGTTCAGTTCCCCTTCTTGGGTGCCTCAAAGTCCAGGCCACTTTCCCAGTGACTGGTGGGGTGTGGGAGACCCAGGCCCACTCTCTACTCCAGGTCCCAGCCCAGGGACCCTATAGATAGCAGCCATCTGCCATGACCCTTTAAATAAACTCCTTTGCTGCTATAATTCCCCGGGTCATTTGCCTGTGGCTCAAGCACATTCTACACCCATACCTCAGGGCCTTGTCCTGGTGGAGTGCCAGCAGCCAGCCCAGAACACCATCTACTCACTTCCAGCTCTAGCAAGGAACTGATCTCTGGCCCTGCAGCTCTTCTTATACTAGCCTGATGGACCCTGATTGGTTGATTCCCACACAGCCACTCTAGGCAGCTTGGAGGACCTCTCTACTGCCCTTTCCTGGGGTGGAGTGTGGCAGGGCCACAAGGCCTCCAGCAAGGGGCCTTAGGACCTAGTCCACTATGTCACAGGCAAATAGTTTGCTAATTGCCCCTCCAAAAGGATTATGGTCAAAGCCTGATCTACACTGAAGTAAATGGCAAAAACTATATTGATATTGATTTCAGGTTGGGCAGGGTTTCACTCAAGTGCTATATGAGAAAGAATGGGGATATATCAGCAAAGATCAAAATGATAAGGATTAGCAATCCTTATGCTTCAGCGTATACACTAATCACCAGTCAGATGAAATACTTCTAATTTTATAATAAAATGATCACAGGTGCACTCAGAGTTTTAAATCATCTTAAAGACAACACCTCCAGCAGAGGGGACCATGTTCAAGGAACCACAATTGGCTTTCTGTGGCCACCATCTAGCTATGATACCTAGCTCCCAATATCTAGTATCTGAGCACCTCACAATTTTAATGCAATTATGCTGACAAGCCCTCTGTGCAGTAGGGCTGTGCAATTATCCCCATTTTGCAGATGAGGAACTGAGGCACTGAGAAACCAAGGGACTTGTCCATGGTAACCCAGGGGGCCTGTGGCAGAGAACTGAACCTGGGTCTCCTGAGTCCTAGGCTAGTGCCCTAAACGCCACTGGGCCATCCTTTCTCTTTCAGCTTGGACATATTGGAAAATCAAGATCATAGAGTTCAAGTGTGGTTTGCAAATCACTCACCTAATACAGTTGCACCAGAGAACTAATGGTCAAGATGAGCCATTCAATAGATGTTAAAACTTCAGCTTAGTATTTTTCAGAAGTCAGCATTGAAGCGACTGTCATAGTATGACCTCCTCCAGGGCACCCCCTTGTGACCTCCGGGTAACCCTGCAAGCAGCCCTTGACTCAATCTCCCCCTTCAAGGGGCTTTTTCAGTATCTCATGCACCCTTTTGTCCATTCACAACTCTTCTTGGGTTCTGGTTTATGAAATTAAAAGACATTCAAAACAAAGTTCTCGAGTCCATCTGTTTACCTGCTTATCAGGTCACCCTCTGCCAGGCCTTTGTGCCTGTAGTCTCACTTCCCAAGTTCCACCTTTCTGTCCGGGAGCCTACTTGCTCCAAGCAGCCTCTATCTCTACATTTCTCTCTACCCCCCCCACTCTGGGGCTTCTCCTTCTGCAGCCCTTTAAAGGAGAATCAGCTGATCCCTGTTCAGCTGTGTGTCCTCAGTAACCAGGGTTGGTTGGCCCCAGGCCTCTAGCTTGAAAATAGGCAAGCCACCCTGTTACAGTGTCATAGGAGTCAACAGGTCTGTGTTCAAAGGGTAATTATATCTAGTGCTAAGTCATCTGATGACAGGCTTTAAGGGATAAAAAAAATATATGAAAAATACCACCATCGACATACAGTAAGCATAGCATTTGGTATTGCCCTGAGCCCGGGCTCTAAAGCCCTTCTGGGCAAACACTTCATGGCTGGAACTTCATGATTTTGAGGGGCTGTGTCAGCTCAGGGCACAGGGAGGGAACCACTCAGTGCACTCTCCCATGGGAAATCTCCACTCTTTGCGGTGGATTTCCCATCAGATGTTATTGCTGCTCAGAGCAGCGCTAACTGTGCTTCTGGGCAAGTCCTGCCTTCAGCAGAGAATGGGGCAGTGTGCATCTACTGACCACTGCTCAGGAGAGGGCTAGGTGGGGAGAAAGATGGAATGGCTGCATTTCCACAGGAATGGAACCTGATTTCGCTATAGATTTTGGGGCAGCTTTATGGTCAGATTCATCTGAATTGCTGCCAACCCTTTCCCGTTTGAAAGGGATAGAGGAAACTGCTGAGTTTCTTGCAAAGTTTTTCACTGAGGGAAGAATAAAGTGTCCTCCTGAGAAAGGTGTTTGTTACCAGTAGGTCTATGACCTGTTTGTGCAATCATGAAAACAGAGTTGCCATATGAAAAAAGATTCTAACTACAAAACAATCACAGATCAGTATGAAATTCCATCAGGCAGCATATTTTTATATGGGCCCAGGCAGATCTTGAGCAGAAAAGTTATTAAAACATTCACTTATACTCACATACTAGGTGGAAGTAAGATGGCATAGTCCAGAATTACATGCCTCTCTCTCTAGTCTATTTAGTTTGAATGTTTTAATGTTATTATATAGTGGTTATTCAGGTTTCGCTCATACAGTATAAACACTAGGAATGGTGTAGGACCTATAAGAACAAATGTGAAAAGAAAATGATTAATACGAACCCGGAAACCACCTTATGTGATATAAAGAAGTACGTGGAAAAATTGAGTGTTTTTTTTAAAGTTGTGCTTTTAACTCTTTTAATGGGGGCTGAGGGGCGTGAGGGGAGGGAAGCAAAATGACAGTAGGAAGAAGTCTTCCACATCAGAGTCTGACTGTGCTTTGAAGAATCATTGCTGTTTCAGTCACGTTAAGATGAATTGGAGTCTAGGAAATGGCTATTACGTATCTTTCTGTAAAATGTTTTCTTTGCAAATACATTAAAAAGCTGGCAAAGCTATTACAAAAAGTTTTTTTTTTTTTTACTCCACCTACTTGGCCAGCGTGCCTGGCCTAGACTGTGCAGTCTGAACTGTGTAGCTGAGGTCTGTTGTGAACATGGAAAACCAGGAAACTGTGGGGATGTAATGACTAATTCAGGTGCTGTGTGCACATTCCTAGTTTATTTAAGGATGAGTGATGCATAAAATCACCAAAAACTTTAATGAATAAGTCTCTTGCTGCCAGTTGGTATTCCCCCACCCCCCACCTTAAAGAGTGATGAGTGTTAGAAAAATATGTTCCTTTCATAGATTTTCTTTTTAGGCATAACACTTACCAAAAACACTCCTCTCTTGTAGTGCAGGGATATTTATTTATCTTAAGTGAATCAAATCATATTGCCAAACAATCATTATAGAATCATTAACAGGTTAATCATTATAGCTGAAATAGTGTCACGGCACCTTGCTTCCAGTAGTGATTCCAACGCCCTTTGTCAAGTTGTGAGCTTGAATTGTTGTTCATTAATTTTCCCACGAGTCAAATATTTTCATTTCAGTCCCTAGTGTATTACTTGGATCAAACCGAAACGTCGCTGCTTCCATGAACCTTCCCTGAACTCCAATAATCAACCCCTTGGCTGATTTCTCTGTGACCTGGCTACTGCTGAACCAAACACAACCACTTGTCCTACAGAGTTTTATAGTTCTAGGACTAAGAAACTGTGGCAACGGAGCTTTTTTTATATTAGTAAAGGGCACTTCAGTAAAATACATATAAAGCTGAATTTATAGAACCATTTCCTAATCTAAGCATACAGAAATCCACTTTAAATCCCTGACGTACGTTTCAGATTTAGGACAAGATGCCCGATTTACATAGAGAATATACTTTATATAATCCTATGGTATCTGAAGACACTGAATGCTGAATTACTATGTTATGTTTAGAAATATAATTAAACAGGAGCCAAACCCCTGGTAATACAATATCATCTTATCTACTTAACTCTGGCTGATTAAAGCATGGCCGTTGTACAGCGAGAAACAGATATTAATAACAAACCTATAAACAAGATATTTGGGTGAGTGGAGTATTGTGCCTGATTTAAAGCCCGAAGCCAGGAAAGTTCAGACCTTCATGACACTGCAGTAAAACACTGCAACATTACAACTTTTCAACCATATCTAAAAGGCCAATTTAGGTTTATTCCCATTCACAGCTTATGGCCATGGTTCAGCAGGTGTAAACTAGTAATAGCTCCAGTCCAGGGCTGGAAGCCTGCCAGGAACAGATGTGTTCAGTCAAATGACTAATTGAAAACCTTAAACAAAATCAGCAGCTTGGCTATTTTGTCTGCATAATAAAGCAGTGCTGATAAAGGCAGTGGAAAAACACCCCTCTCATCATCAATGCCATTAACAATCAGGAGTAAAGATGAAAACAACGCATGGTTTATTCTGCAAATGAAGGCATATAACTAGATGACGTCCCAGGAGTCCATTACCAATTTTAATAATACATCAAGGAGCCTGAGCAAACAGTTTGTATGTGAAAGCCAAACACAGCAAACTACTTACAGTTACCGCATAGAGAGACAACTCCCAGTGCTATGAATTTAACAAATTTATAAAGGTACATAACAGGATAGCTATTAGCTAAATTAAAAGAAAGCCATTATAGACTGCAGTCTTGCACCACTTGCCAGCTAAACACCACAAAGTACAAACTTTTGATTCAAATGAATTTCCTTTTACAAGAGAACTGCCTGAGTTGGAGTCAAATTATGTGCATGAATAATAAAATACCATCTAATTAAAAACTGTAGTTAAATATGCAAAAACTAATGATAATGAGATTGTGCAATACCTCAGAGTATAGCACTTTATAAATTACTCAGAAGTGCTAGTTGGCTTGACCTAAACAGTAGATAATGGAAGTTGCTTTGAAAATTCTTAGCTATGGCTTCCCATGGTGCCCTGCTTTTGACTGTAAAAGTAAACAGCTAATCCGTGCTGCTGGAAGGTGAACAAGCACTAACTTTAGTTATAACACTAACTATTGGCTTAACCTGGTCTCAGTTCGAGGCAGACAGAGTGAGCGATTGGGCACAGAGCAAAAGCCTTGAAAAATGAGCATGCCTGTTGTGGTGCTTCACTGCCTGTGTCTTGCCGCACCTGCCAAAAAGAACCAAAAAAAGCACATTATTCAACACAATGGAAAATCCCATGTCAATTCCATTTAAAGACAAAACCCCATCATGATTGCTGTTTAAGGCTGGGATTTTCAAAGGAGCCTGAGAGTTATGTGCTCAGGTTCCCCTGAAATTTATTAGGAATTGAATACCTAAGACTTTTGACAATCTCATCCTCATCTTAGAAAAAGGGGATGCTTGTACTGATCACCAACAAGCTAAGCTGATCACCAGCAATTAACAAGACAACCTTGCGCACTATTGCATCAGAGTGTTCCTCAGTTGAAACTCACTGCCCTGATTTGATTTTGCTTTTGAAGTGTCAGGTTTTAAGTCAATATTCCATTGGATCTTTCCTCATTTTAAAAAATCAAATTAGCTCCAATAGAACTATTTTTGGCACTTCAGACTTATTTGGTCTCACATTACGTATTTGGAAATGTGCTCAGAGACACTGAGCAATGATGCAACATTTGAGTGGAGCTTTAAAATGCGTCAATTTCACATTTACTGAATTCCCAGCTCCATAAATTCATATTGTGTTTTGCATTTAGCTACTTATTTTCTCATTTCTGATGCTTTGGTTCTCCATTTTAGTGATGAGAAACTGAAAGATCTGTCCTTCAGTAAGAAAAAGTGACACCACATCTTCATACAATTTCAAGTTTACTCAATAACATTTACATTTTTCGGCTTTTCATCCGGAAAAAAGATATCCTGAAGTATGACAAAGTAAACATTTCTTAATAAAGGGGGATTTTCTATTCATGGAATACCTATAGAAAAGTGTTCTCTCAGCACATTGTTAAATATGATTGTGTCATCCAGAAGCTGTGCTGTGCCTACAATGTATATTTCATTTCAAGTCAATAGGCATTTGAGCTAGTTAATAAATTTTTAACAACACTGTAGACTAGACAGGTTCATCAGCCATTCAAAGGAACAACAGTTCAGTTGTCAGTGCAGTGTTAATTTCTTTCACTTCCAACTGACCTTAACTAAGCCTAGATTTTGAGATTAGTATTGCAATGTTTTGCCTAGCTTGTTTTAAAAAATCACAAACACAGATTTGCACCTATTTTGCCTTTGAGATTTTTAGATTCAATGTCAATACTCTGCAGACTGTTCCTCCAGCCTTGATCTGCTTCACTGTCTCGGGTCCAAGGCTCCTAGAGAAGACATGCCGTCTATTTTCATTCTCTGACGTGGCAAAGGTGCAAGGTTGAACAACCAGAGCCTAATTAAAGTGCTGAATTGTAAAATCAATATGCATCAACATACACTAGACATTATACTAAACAGATGAAAATATTTTGTCAGTACAGAATGAATGTGCGCCAGCTTTGAGATTTTTTTTTTCATTCTTTTGCTAGAGATCAGATGGTTCGACAACACAAAACTAGCAGAATATAGAGCTGTTTTACCAGCAGGAAGACATAATTCAACTTTTATACTTGCACTCCTTTCAATTTTGTTTGTTAAATAAAAGCTTAGAGTTGTTGAATTTTTATTTTTCCCTTGACATGCATTCAGTCACCATCCCTTTACAATAATTTACAACCATTTTACTAATAACCTCTAAAAGGCAGGGCTCCCTTGGTCTTAAAGGTTTGGGTTACCTCTATTCCAGTCCCTGATTTGGAAAAGCATTCCTATTCAGGAAAGCACTTAACACACATGCTTAAGTCCCACTGACATCAAGCCAAAGAGATGTAAGCACATGCTTAAGTGGTTTCCTAATCATGGGCTCTGAAGAACAGAGATAGATTTTTTGGGGGGTCCAAAATATACTAAAATAATCTATACCTATTAGCTACTTACCAGCGGCATTAAGGACCTATGACCTGTTATTTATTCATCTATAAAGGGGTAAGTACATAAAACCTACATCCACCTGTGATCACCATGGAAACTACACTGTTGGCTGATGATTTTCTTCAATTCACCTTAAAGACTATTGGCAGCCAGTTGAACACCTGACCTCTAGTGAGCTGGTTAATTAAGGAATCTTGAATGACTTTACATAGTTCTTACAATTTTAACTAACATACTGAGCTGATGAAAATTGTTCAAACGATGAATAAATCCACTCGTACTGCATGCATAGTATTATTTCAACAACCTTCACTAGCTATGCCAATACCTGTATAACGGAAACATTATTTACAGCCTTTCTTGTAGGGAAGAAGGTTCATTTTCTGGCTCTATGTTCTGCCCTGAGACTGAGTGAGAGATTAGCAAAGGTAATGAAAGGAAATACATGTTTACTCTCAAGTACTACTAGCATATTGTCAGCAATATTGGAATTCTTAGAAATCTGATGCTAAATGTCACTTGAGTCAGTGGCAGAACTAATGTCCCTTTTGATTCTCAGGCGGTGTTGGTTGGAAATGAAGAGGACTCTCTATCATAAACTGTTAACAGAAAATGCCAGTAATGTTTTAAACAAGCTCAAAGGGAAGAGATAAAGTTAGGCTTTGTTTTATTCAACAGCACATACTATTTGATGGGCTCTGTCTTGTCCTCTGGATTCATGTAAGGGATAATAAATGACAAGGTGTGGGCTGTGAGACAGCAATATGCATCAGGTGAGTGGCAAGGCATGAGGTCAAAGACAGAGTGCCTCTAGCATGTGGGGAGGGTTATTATTTCATAAGAGCTGCATGCTCTGGAATGTGTTACTCCACTTTATAAAGTGGTGACTCCTTAGTTACATTTTTAGTGTTTCAGTAGCTTTCCGTGTAAAGATAATATATAATTGTAACACAGGGTCAATCTGGATCCCAGCGCTCAGCGCCTAAGGACTCAAAGAGATAAAAGGTCAAATCCCAGTTTATTGGCAACAAGAGATAGACAAACCAACACAAAAACTCAGACAACCTATTTCTTCTAACTGGGGTCCCTTACTATCCACCTTCACTCAGCATCTGTAGGTCTTGCCTGCACCAGATCCCACTGGCAACTCTCTTATTTTATATCCCAGTCTGCCCTGCTCTTAAAGAGACATCACTATCATAATAATCATGTAGATTATAAAGCAAATGTGCAGGAAACATACAAGTATATACAATATTGCATCAAAACCTCCTATGTTGTCATATTATACTTTTAAGTAATCCTGGTGGTAAAGATAAAGAATAAGAAACAGGGATTGGAAGAAAAATACCCAAATACAGTTAAAATATTCAATGTATATCTGCTTTAGGGAGATAATGGATAGTAAATTAGACATGAGTTTGCAATAAAATATGGCAGCCAAAACAAAATAGGCATACACAATTGTGGGCTGCATATTAAGAGACAGGAAAGCAACAACCCCATATAACACCTTTCTTAAATTACTCTTTGCTACACCAGGAATATTACATTCAGTGTTGGGCATCTGATACCAGAAAGCATTCAGAGAAGACACACAAAAGTGATTAGGGGGTTGGAACCAAATGCTTTGTGAGGAAAGATTAAAAGAATTGAATGCATATATAGCTTAGCTAAAGGATGACCAAAAAGGGGACATGATAACAATCCATAGATTTTTGAAGGATGTAAACACCAAGGAGACAGTGTAATTATTTAGGTTGACACAATGATGTATAATAATAAATTAAAATAAGAAAGGAAAAAATGGCTAAATAGTGGAACAAGCATTTGGTGAAACATGCCAACATTTGTCAGATAAATTATTTGCAATGAATAATTTGGTCAATTCTAGAAAATAGTGTAACATTTATTTGAAATGCATATCAACGGAGGAGTTTAATTTTGATATTAACCATGTTGTTGAAGTCCCTGATTCTGCAGTGAGCTCTGCATGGGTGGACCTCTGAACCCACATACAGTTGTGCTGACTCTGTCAGAGTTCATTGCAGGATTGGGGGACTAACTGTCTCTCATTATTCTTTCTCCTACGGAGCTGTTTTAAGTGCCTTCCTATGCATGCCATTCTGCTGCCATCTTTTTCCTGCTAAATTCCACTGTTGCTACTGTTCTAAGGGAAAAGGCAAAGGTGAATGTGGAGGGGACTCATCCTCCCAATTTTCTTAGCCAGAGATTTAAATTTAGGGGCAACCCTTAGCCCTGACCTTCCCACTCTACATCCTGCCTTCTTCTGCACCTCATTACTCATTGAGCTGTCAGAGCCTGGACTCCAGCCTGCTAGATTAAAAACTGCTAGTTTATTTAAAAGGAAACAAAACAAAAACACACCAGTTTTCCTCATTGCTGGCAGCCATCAAGATGCCTCATTTTCCAGGACCACACAAGGAGCAAAGACAATGCCACAATGAAAGCTAACTTGCTGCTCAGAAAGTGCTGGGCATGGCTGGGGACACCTCAGAGATGGGGACCCCAGCTACACAGCAATTTCAGCAGTAACGAGGAACACTCTCGTCGGTGCCACAATAATTGTATAGCATTTCACCTAGTTATTTGGAAATAAGGATAACAACAGTGGGCCAAATTTTCACCGAGGTCTCACATTGACTATCATGGGTGCATGTGCAAAGGCCTCCCTCTGTTTGCGTGCTGTGAGCAAGCTATGATGGGAGAGAGGAAGGATGGGTCAGAGGTTCCAGTTCAATCAACTGCTTCGCTGCAGACTTAATCTGACGTCGGGCAAGTTACTTATCCTCTCTGTGCTTTAGTTCCACTTCAGTACAATGGGGATAATACTACTTCCTTACTTCACAGGGTGTTGTGATACTCATCTCAGAGACCATGGTGATTGGAGGGGGGGGGGCATATAAGAACCTTAGACAGATGGAATGACAGGGGGTGAAAACATTCCTGGAGTTCTCCCTGCTCTGGGGGACTGGCCTTCCCAGAGTCTTTGTGTGGGGGATAGACACTTCCTGAATCTAGTGGCTTGCTCTTCCTGAAGGGTGAAGTAGACCTTCTCAGATTGGGTGAGTGTATTTGGTGCCCTTTTCCAGACTTCAGCTCCAGCTTTCTGGATGTGCTCTGGAAATGTTCCTGTCACCTTTTTGGAGGCAGGAAAGAAAGGTTTCCCTCACTGCCAAAATGGCAGAGACCGTGGGTTTTTTCACCTTCCCCATTGCAACCAGGAGGGTTAGTAGGTCGGAGGGGGATTTTGAATTCTTTGCCTGTCTTTGGAACTTCATCTGGGTCCAGTATGGCTTCTGTGGAGAAAGGGAAGACCAATTCCTGAGTAAACCTGAACATAGAATCAGGAGGAAGGACCATAATTTGCACTGCAATGCCACCCTTGCCTGAACCTTTAACTCTCGCATGAGAAGAGGATGTCTGTGGTATCAGCACCAGTGCTAAATCTCTTATGGTGTCTGTTTGAGTAGAAAAGAAGTTAAAATTGCTGGCCCTACCCTAAAAGTCCTTGGCTGAGGCCCATGCTGGACCACATGTTGCCAAGTAGTTTGCAGTAGAGTAGTCAAACCTCATGAAGTTTAAGTTTAAGGAAAGTTGTGGCCTCTGCTTAACCCAATATTCTGTGTATTCTTCATTTCTACTGTGTCTACTGTGTTTACATGCAGACTATGGGCTGGATATGTTGACTGCATTGCCCGTGTCTGGAGAGATTGGAGCACTGATGAGGGCTAGCTGGGTATGACTTCAGATAAAACGGAGATGATGTTGGTTGTGGGAAGCAACCAGAAGAGATAGCATGTGTTATTTCTGCCTCTGTGATTAAGTATGTCTGTCAGTCTTTTGTTGACCAAGTTTGCAATCTGGGGGTCTAGGCAGACTCCTGACTGCTACTGCAAGATCAGGTAGAAGCTACAGCCAAATCTGCAGCTGACTAGGAGGCTGCAACAATTTCTTTCAGATACGGACCTTGCAACTGTCACCCTTGCCTTCATCACTTCAAGAGTAAATACTGCAGTGGGGCTACATCTTAATTTGTTCCAAATTGCTGCTGGTGCAAGATTTCATCGCCTGCTAAGTGATGTTTCTTGACAGTAGCATATTAAACCTATGCTCTGCAATCTGCGTTAGGTGCTTTTTGAGTCCCAAATAGATTTTAAGATGGCCTAGGAACTACTTATATAAGAAGAGACCATCACTCCCCACTTGACCAATTGCTACAGCTGTGCTCAGTGGAGGAGTCTGAGCTGAAATCCCATTGGCTTAGGAGACTGGGCAGCTGGCGGGATGTTCTCCGTTGGGGCCCCAGACCTTTGGAATGTGCTTCCTCTCTCTAGGTTTGTAACAGCTCAAGTTTATTAAGCTTACCAGCTTGCTGGAAGTTCCATCTCTTCTCCCTTGTCTGTGAGGAGGTGGGTATTGTGCAGGACTGGGTAGCAGTGGCGTGGGACTCTGGTGGGGAGCACGTAGGAAGGTCAATTGGTTCTTGTTATATTTATGTTGTTGTTGGGCTATTTGGTTTGAATAGGGTGGTAACTGATGTGTCTGTTTATTTAATAAAGTTTTTAAAGCTTGTCAAGAGCACCAAGAGCACTGGATGGGTGCTCTGTTATTGGAGTTTGTGAAAATCCAAACCCTTGTGCATACAAGTGGTAGAATTTACACACTCAAAACTCATCTGCCTAATTTCTGAAGGCAAATGAGGTGATGGTGTATGTGTGTAAAGTATCCTTTGTAGGCACAAGTGAAAATGCCTGTGCAATTGTGAGCATGTGCAAATGTGC